GGTACATGGACTATACACAACATTTCACGGTCCAAGCCTCAGCCAAGATCAGGGGCTTGTGGCTAGTGCTTAGAATTTTTGTCACGTGCCTCATGCTATTTGGCACTACAGTGTAATCTTAAAAGTCGAGCGTCTAGAGCCATGGGAGTAAACAAGAAACTTGGCTGCCATTTTTTTTAAAATTAAGCAACCGTCTAGCCCTCCTGGCTGCAGCAAAAAGGTGATTCCCCGAAAGCAAATAAAAACAACCCCAACTTTACTTTTTCTAGTTCTCATGATTTTTCAGGCCTGACTCCTTGATTTTTTTTAAAGGTCTAGGCTTGCTTGGCAGGACTGCTACTGTGCAAAATGCTGTAGATATACAGAGTGAGAAAAAGTCCCTGCCCCAGAAAACTTACAGATGAAGGCTCCCCTCCATGCTACCAAGTAAACCCATGCTAACTCCCACTGAAGTTGGCAGGAGTCAGCCAACAGGGTGTTGGAGCATTGGGGTCTATGTGGACAAGGCAGGCAAAGGGAAGAAGAAGAAACTAAAATAGCATCCACTGGGGTCTCCATGTAAAGAATTCGGACAATTATTTAAAATGCAGGTGCCCACTAACAGTGGCCAACAAACACACCAGGCCCCTGGGCAAGGCAGGGGGAGGGGCTAGCTCCATGCCCCCAGAAGGGGCTGGGCCTTGGGTGGAAGGGGTGGGGCTCCAACAGCCATTTCAAGGGTCCGTGGCTGTGGCCGCTGCCACTGCTGCACTGGCGGTGGCGGCCGAGAGCCCTGTTGGCCTTTTTGCCCCTCCTCCTTGGTGGGCTTGCCCACTACACAGAGCCTCCAAGAGCGACAGCTGCAAACCCACCCCCTGCAAAAGTCAGAGCTACAGCTCCCCAGCCACAAACCAAAGAAAGAGCGGGGTCTAGCAAACGCATAGTTAAGGACTTGGCCAATGGCAGGGAAGTGGCGGGATGGGGGGAGGGGAGGGGGAAGAGAGGAGGGGAGTGGGCAGAGAGTTCCAGGGGAGGGAGGGGCTGGGAGGCGCTTACCTAGATGGCTCCTGGCCAGCAACCCAGTGGGACCTTCAGTCAGGCTCCCTGCTCCACGTGTGCTCCCTGCACATTGTGTTCTTCTGGGCGGGGAGGGGGACAAGGGGAGGGGCACTTCACACGCTGCCTGTGCCACAAACTGGCCAATGGGAGCTGCACAATTGTGCTAGGGACGGAAGTATCATGTGCGGGGCTCACGGTGTTTAGTAAAGGATAGGACCCCTGCAGCTGGCTGCTTTGAGCAGTGCGTGGGTGCACAGGAAGCCTGCCTGAGGCTCTTGCTGGGCCGTGGGACAGTGGAAGGCTGGATTTGGTGGTTTGCCAGCCCCTGAACTAAAGCCTCACCCAGGTGATTAAATGTAGCCAATGATACGGATCTTCAATAACCATAAAGGAAACAGAGACAAGAACGTGTCAGTCCAGTGGGCCCCAGCATCAATACAGCAGTTGTCACACAGCTTAATGCATAACTGGGCTGAGGAGACCGATATAAGGACATAAGGTATTTATCTGGCCACCATTGCCGTATTATGTAAGCACCTCAGGACTTGTAATGTATGATTCTATAATAAGTTCATAGAGGAGAGATCCATCAATAACTATCAAAGATGCAACCCCCCATGCTCTGGGAATGTTGAACTGCCAGGAACCAGACCTTGGTCAAGTCACTTATTCTCTCTGCGACACAGGTCATTTGATAACTGCACCGTTCTGTGGATTCCCTCTGCAGCATCCGGCACTGGCCAGTGTCGAAGACAGTCTGTATGGCCACTCGTATGTTCTTGAGGAAACAACACCAGTGGAGACAAAGCATGTGTCTAAGTGTCTCCCTTAGATCATGAGCAGCTATTCAGATACATCATGCATAACATGCCCCATTTCACTCACAGTCATGGAAAGTAAGATGTGCCAAAGAAAAACTGAAAATTGTGTAGCAAAATGGTTGCTGTAGGCGTCAAAAACCTTCCCTAATTTTTACTACAGGTTGAACCTCTCTGGTCTGGCACGATTTTAGTGCCCACTTATGATGGGTATGGCCAAGTTTCCCACAGTCCCACAAAATTTGTTTACAGCCACCAGTCCTGGCTCTCAGTGTTCTGTGTTGTTCTCTAGCTCTAATTTACCTGTAAATGTCTTCTAAGAGCCCAGTCAGCAGTGGAAGTGTTGGTAATGCTGCTAGACAACATCGACCTCCTGTGATTCAGGAAATTCTCTGGTTCAGCACCAGTCAGGTCTTGAAGGTGCTGAACTAGAGAGGTTCAACATGTATTTCTACTCTAGAAAGATCAATCGCACCATTTGGAAAGATCTTTCAGGCCAGACTCTGCCACCTTACTTGTACCGACTAGCACCTTACTCCTCAAATAGTGCTAGTGGAGCAACGGAACTACTTGTGGATGATGGTACTTTTAATGGGAATACAGGCACTCTTCGGCTACGTCTATATTAGCAAGATTTTGCGCAAATACTCTTTAACGCAAGAGTTTTTGCATTAGAGTATTTGAGTAAGAGAGCGTCTACACTGGCATGTGCTTTTGCCAAGAGCATCCGTGCCAGTGTAGACGCTCTCTTGCGCAAGAAAGCTCCGATGGCCATTTTAAACATTGGGCTTTCTTGCGCAAGAAATTGATGTTGCCTGTCTACACTGGCCTCTTTACGCAAGAGGGCTTATCCCTGAGCGGGAGCGTCAGAGTATTTGCACAAGCAGCACTGATTTTATACATTAGAACATCAGTGTTCTTGCACAAGTACTTGCGGCCAGTGTAGACAGGTGGCAAGATTTTGCACAAAAGGAGACGCTTTTGCGCAAAAACTTGCCAATGTAGATGTAGCCTCTAAGTTACAAACGCCCGGCTTATGAACATCCACAAACAAAAGCTCACCTGCAGCCTCAGGCATGGCCGTCCTTAGGATTTATGGGGAGATGACGATTTGAGAGAGATGTGATTCTATCATCTTCACCACCACACTAATCTTTTTAAAGCAAATTTTAAACTTAGGTCCTGCCGACTGGTACAGTCAATTCAGAAACTGACAGTCTATACCTGGGGTTGGCAAATGCCTGTTAAATGGCTTCATTACCACTGGAATGACTCTTTCACAGTTTCAATGTGCTGCTAATAGCTCTACCAGGCTTCTTCACTTTTAAGTTAACTAGACCCACTTCAGAGGAAGCAGAGCTACAGAATAGGGATAGGAAGAGACAGGTGGTGGACACTAAGGCTATGTCTACACTACAGAGTTGGGTTTTTTTCCTTCAGAAAAACAGTCATTTTTCCGAAAAAACTTCACTTATGTCCACACTGCAATCGCATTCTTTCGGGGGGGGGGGGGGGGGGAACAAAATTTTTGGAAAAAACTGATGTTTTTCTGAAAAAAAAAACAAACGTCACTTATGTCCAGACTGCAATCGCTTTCTTTCAGAAAAACAAATGGAAAGAACAGAGGGTTTTTTCCGACGTTGGTAAACCCCTTTCTATGAGGAAGAAGCCTTTTTCTGAAAGAGCTCTTTCGGAAAAAGGCATGTGTGGACGGGGAAGAGGAGTTCTTGCGAAGAGGAGGCAAGAGGAAAAAGCACAGGTGCCCTGGTGGCCCCTCCATCCATAGCTGAAATGCAAGATAGCGTCCACACTGAATGGATGCGATCTTTGAAAAAAGCAGATCTTTTTTCAATGCACTTTGGCAGTTTGGATGTGCTCTTTTGGACAAAGTGATTTCGGAAAAGCTCTTCTGGAAAAGCTTCTTCCGAAAGAAGCCTGCAGTCTAGAGTAGCCTAAGACCCAGCGGTGCCCCACATTTTTGGATGCCCTACGTAGATGTGTATTCTGCGTATGGATAAGGATGGCCCTGGCCTCAGGGGAGCAGCAAGAGGTGCAGATTGTGGTAAGCGGCTCAGGTGCTGACCAGAGGACTCCAGAGGAGCAGGGGGCGGTTGAGCAGCCAGTGGCTGGAAGGAAGCAGCTCTTTAGAGGGGAAACTGCTGCTTCTCTTCATCCGCCAGCTGCACAGCCACCTCCTGGGCCTTCAGAGTCCTCCAGCCTGTGCTTGCGCCATTCGCCACCTCCAGGTGAGCAGGGGTTGGGTGTAGCCTGTGGAAGACGGGGGTGACCAGGGGATGAGTTTGGCTGCAGGAGCCCACAAGAGGGAGCAGGACAGTGGCCTGAGGATGCCCCTAAAATCTCCTTCAGAATCTCCCCGGTGCCTTTGAAAAATCTCTGCCTAGACCGACACGCACAAAAATATCAGGCAGGACAGAAGTGTGAGGGTCCTCGTTGTGAGTAAAGCTACAACTCCCAAGCTATCCCGATCTCGCAAACATACAGGTCACTTTTCAGGAGACCTACTCAAGTTTCTTCACACCCCGCTTCTAAGGCAGCAATACTGTTTACCGGCAATATTCAGCGCACCCCCAGCCTTTGTATTCTCAAAGTGCCAGACTAGCCAGCCTTCTTCACAGCAGTCATATAACGGGGAGGTGGGGCTGTCCTTACTGTACAGATGGAGAAACTAGCACGACATGGTAAATGACTTGTCCAAAAATTATTTCCTGTTCTTGGTCCACTAACCCGCACTGCCTCCTGCTCTGTTGACTGGTTGTGCCTGGCACTATACAAACATACAGTGCCCCACAGAATTTACAGTCTAAACAGAGAACACAGACAAAGGATGGGAAAAGAAAGAGAGAAAAGTGACTTGCAGCAAGTCAGGAGTCAAGCCAGTCTGCTCCATCCTGCCTCAAAGCCCAAGCACAGGACCACGGATAATGGGATATGTACTACTGCCATGCAAACATAAAAGGGGCTAAATATGAGGTCACTGGCAGGAGGATGGGGCATTTCTTGACTTTTGGAGCATTCAGCTCTCTGCTTTTGCAATGCTCCTACAGGGGAGCAAGCATGGATTTAATAATGCAATTAAGACGACAGGCAATGTTAGTGGAACCCATCTGCAAATGTTGCATTTACCACATAAGGCGATGATGTGACTGCTGTCTTCGTGCACAAATTTCCTGGTGACAGCTTCTTCCATTATCTGCTTTACCTGAAAGAAAAGACAAAGCATATTGACCGGGTGGATTTTACATGCTGGTTCCATCAACTCTGTGGAAGGAGAGTCCAAAGCGGATTATTTTCCTTCTTACAAACATCAGACGTTTACCTTGACTTGAACGGTTTCCGTACTTGTCACTGCAGGCATTGTGCCAGGATTCATTTCTATGTCCCAGGACAACTGAAATGCCCTTAAATGTGTCACCCCAGCTGCATATCAGCAGCAAGCTGAAGGACAGGAGACAGGAACACCTACAGCAGTGGTTTTCAAACTATGGGTCGTGACCCAGCACTGGGTCATGGAATGTCAGGCACTGGGTCTCGTTGCTGCAGGGGGATCAGGTGACCAGTGGGGGCGCTAAGGCAGCTCCCTGCCTGTTCTGGCACCCAGACTGTGCTGTGCCCCAGAAGTGGCCACAAGCAGACCCAGCTCCTAGACGGGGGACGGGGGAGCACACAGGGCTCTGTGCACTGTCCCTGCCTCGAGCACTAGCTCCGCACTCCCATTGGCTGGGGACCGGCTGCTGGCTGCTTCTGGGGCGCAGCATAATCTGTGTGCCTTAACACCCCCGCTGCACTGCTGACCGGGAGTCGCTGTGGCTAAGTCCCTCCTGCCCCAGCCCTGAACCCCCTCCTACAGCCCCATCCCGGAGCCCACACTCTAGTCAAATGATGTTGGGTCGTGGGCATCAACAATTTTCTTCAACTGAATCATGAGAAAAAAAGTTTGAAAACCGCTGGACTAAAACGCCAGGTGCAGTCCTGCAGAGGTGCTAGGGAGGTAGCCAACGATTCCTCAGCAGCTTTGCTGCACCGTAGAGCCAAACACTACCTCCCACCCTGGATCCTTAGGCTTGCGAATGACAGGACAGTAGGCCAAAGAGACTGGGAAGCAAAGGGTTCACCACCCCACGCTGCTCTCTGGTGTTGATGGGGTGGGACCTGGGGCTATCACACAGAAGACAGCTGGTCCAGTGTTTAGGACTAGTCTTGGAGCTGGAAACCCAGGCAAGGCTTCCCGAGGGGATGCATCTCCACCACACTCAGAAATGTGACAGCAACGTATCTCAGGCAGCTTCGGTCCAGCTAGCGAGAATAACAGTAGCAGCAATGCCATGGCAGCATGCGCTAGCCGCTTGTTTGAGTACATCCCTGGGGCCCGGCCAGGGCTGCCGCAGCTTCATCGCTATCGTTATTGGCGCTGGCCAGATCACAACTAGCTCAGGTACGTCTACACACGCTCTGGGCACAGCCCTGACTGCGGTACGGAGAAACCCCTCGCCTCAGATTCACTCCCATCTGCCCTGGTCAGGGACAGAAACGAGGTTTGGCTGACGCAGGAGAGAGATGCAGCCACCACAGCTCAGCACGAGCTGGAGTCCACTCCCACGTATGTTTACACAGGGACACCTGTGCAAACCCACCGAAAGCAGGGCCTGCCGTGACGAGGTTGCCGAGGTGCCACAGAGTGGCATGGGGCCTCTGGAGCCTTTATTACAACAGACGATGAAGGAGAGGAAAAGCACCCAGCTTGACTATCAGACCCCAGGTTGAGTCTGCAGGACTAGTAAGTTAGAAGAGACTTTTTTTGGGCAATAATCAAACTCCTTAAGGAAGCCACTGAGAGACAATTTGTACCAATCCCCGCCGAACAGGAGAAATACATTTTAAAGCAACGATGGGCAACCTAGGCTAGTGAGTGGGCCTCCTTCAGCTCAGAGGGCCGCAAGATTGTCATGACCAAGACAGTCTCCCAGGACAGGGTGGATTTGCTCCCTGTGCTGGCGTCCCTAGAATTTGCAGGATATGCCGACTGACACTGCAGCGATGCTTGGATTGGCTGCAAAGGGAGCGCCCGGCTCTCCTAGTCAGCATGGCGTGCAGTTAGCACCCACCTCACATCACCCTCACTTTACGTACGCGTCACGTTAGTAATACTCAGGGCTCAACAAATAATGTAATCTACTCGCCACAGGCGAGTAGATTACAACCCGGAAGAGCCGGCACAGAGCGATCTGCGCATGCGCAGAGCGCAGAACCGCGCGGCTGGCGAGCGGGGCTCACCGCCGCTTGGCGAGCTCTGGTAATACTGATATGAAGGAAACGACATGGACAAAAACAGACCCCGCCAAAGGGCTTGCGAGGCCCAAGGCAGGACGCTGGGAGCGGGGCCCCAAGCTCAGGCCAGGCCCAAGGCAGGATGCTGGGAGCGGGGCCCCAAGCTCGGGCCAGGCCCAAGGCAGGATGCTGGGAGCGGGGCCCCAAGCTCGGGCCAGGCCCAAGGCAGGATGCTGGGAGCGGGGCCCCAAGCTCGGGCCAGGCCCAAGGCAGGATGCTGGGAGCGGGGCCCCAAGCTCGGGCCAGGCCCAAGGCAGGATGCTGGGAGCGGGGCCCCAAGCTCGGGCCAGGCCCAAGGCAGGATGCTGGGAGCGGGGCCCCAAGCTCGGGCCAGGCCCAAGGCAGGATGCTGGGAGCGGGGCCCCAAGCTCGGGCCAGGCCCAAGGCAGGATGCTGGGAGCGGGGCCCCAAGCTCGGGCCAGGCCCAAGGCAGGATGCTGGGAGCGGGGCCCCAAGCTCGGGCCAGGCCCAAGGCAGGATGCTGGGAGCGGGGCCCCAAGCTCGGGCCAGGCCCAAGGCAGGATGCTGGGAGCGGGGCCCCAAGCTCGGGCCAGGCCCAAGGCAGGATGCTGGGAGCGGGGCCCCAAGCTCGGGCCAGGCCCAAGGCAGGATGCTGGGAGCGGGGCCCCAAGCTCGGGCCAGGCCCAAGGCAGGATGCTGGGAGCGGGGCCCCAAGCTCGGGCCAGGCCCAAGGCAGGATGCTGGGAGCGGGGCCCCAAGCTCGGGCCAGGCCCAAGGCAGGATGCTGGGAGCGGGGCCCCAAGCTCGGGCCAGGCCCAAGGCAGGATGCTGGGAGCGGGGCCCCAAGCTCGGGCCAGGCCCAAGGCAGGATGCTGGGAGCGGGGCCCCAAGCTCGGGCCAGGCCCAAGGCAGGATGCTGGGAGCGGGGCCCCAAGCTCGGGCCAGGCCCAAGGCAGGATGCTGGGAGCGGGGCCCCAAGCTCGGGCCAGGCCCAAGGCAGGATGCTGGGAGCGGGGCCCCAAGCTCGGGCCAGGCCCAAGGCAGGATGCTGGGAGCGGGGCCCCAAGCTCGGGCCAGGCCCAAGGCAGGATGCTGGGAGCGGGGCCCCAAGCTCGGGCCAGGCCCAAGGCAGGATGCTGGGAGCGGGGCCCCAAGCTCGGGCCAGGCCCAAGGCAGGATGCTGGGAGCGGGGCCCCAAGCTCGGGCCAGGCCCAAGGCAGGATGCTGGGAGCGGGGCCCCAAGCTCGGGCCAGGCCCAAGGCAGGATGCTGGGAGCGGGGCCCCAAGCTCGGGCCAGGCCCAAGGCAGGATGCTGGGAGCGGGGCCCCAAGCTCGGGCCAGGCCCAAGGCAGGATGCTGGGAGCGGGGCCCCAAGCTCGGGCCAGGCCCAAGGCAGGATGCTGGGAGCGGGGCCCCAAGCTCGGGCCAGGCCCAAGGCAGGATGCTGGGAGCGGGGCCCCAAGCTCGGGCCAGGCCCAAGGCAGGATGCTGGGAGCGGGGCCCCAAGCTCGGGCCAGGCCCAAGGCAGGATGCTGGGAGCGGGGCCCCAAGCTCGGGCCAGGCCCAAGGCAGGATGCTGGGAGCGGGGCCCCAAGCTCGGGCCAGGCCCAAGGCAGGATGCTGGGAGCGGGGCCCCAAGCTCGGGCCAGGCCCAAGGCAGGATGCTGGGAGCGGGGCCCCAAGCTCGGGCCAGGCCCAAGGCAGGATGCTGGGAGCGGGGCCCCAAGCTCGGGCCAGGCCCAAGGCAGGATGCTGGGAGCGGGGCCCCAAGCTCGGGCCAGGCCCAAGGCAGGATGCTGGGAGCGGGGCCCCAAGCTCGGGCCAGGCCCAAGGCAGGATGCTGGGAGCGGGGCCCCAAGCTCGGGCCAGGCCCAAGGCAGGATGCTGGGAGCGGGGCCCCAAGCTCGGGCCAGGCCCAAGGCAGGATGCTGGGAGCGGGGCCCCAAGCTCGGGCCAGGCCCAAGGCAGGATGCTGGGAGCGGGGCCCCAAGCTCGGGCCAGGCCCAAGGCAGGATGCTGGGAGCGGGGCCCCAAGCTCGGGCCAGGCCCAAGGCAGGATGCTGGGAGCGGGGCCCCAAGCTCGGGCCAGGCCCAAGGCAGGATGCTGGGAGCGGGGCCCCAAGCTCGGGCCAGGCCCAAGGCAGGATGCTGGGAGCGGGGCCCCAAGCTCGGGCCAGGCCCAAGGCAGGATGCTGGGAGCGGGGCCCCAAGCTCGGGCCAGGCCCAAGGCAGGATGCTGGGAGCGGGGCCCCAAGCTCGGGCCAGGCCCAAGGCAGGATGCTGGGAGCGGGGCCCCAAGCTCGGGCCAGGCCCAAGGCAGGATGCTGGGAGCGGGGCCCCAAGCTCGGGCCAGGCCCAAGGCAGGATGCTGGGAGCGGGGCCCCAAGCTCGGGCCAGGCCCAAGGCAGGATGCTGGGAGCGGGGCCCCAAGCTCGGGCCAGGCCCAAGGCAGGATGCTGGGAGCGGGGCCCCAAGCTCGGGCCAGGCCCAAGGCAGGATGCTGGGAGCGGGGCCCCAAGCTCGGGCCAGGCCCAAGGCAGGATGCTGGGAGCGGGGCCCCAAGCTCGGGCCAGGCCCAAGGCAGGATGCTGGGAGCGGGGCCCCAAGCTCGGGCCAGGCCCAAGGCAGGATGCTGGGAGCGGGGCCCCAAGCTCGGGCCAGGCCCAAGGCAGGATGCTGGGAGCGGGGCCCCAAGCTCGGGCCAGGCCCAAGGCAGGATGCTGGGAGCGGGGCCCCAAGCTCGGGCCAGGCCCAAGGCAGGATGCTGGGAGCGGGGCCCCAAGCTCGGGCCAGGCCCAAGGCAGGATGCTGGGAGCGGGGCCCCAAGCTCGGGCCAGGCCCAAGGCAGGATGCTGGGAGCGGGGCCCCAAGCTCGGGCCAGGCCCAAGGCAGGATGCTGGGAGCGGGGC